ACAGAGATTGTCTTTGGCTCTAAATAAATACATCTCCTCAGAGCCTACTGGACCTGTGTCCTTCAAGCCTGGTAACGAAGCATTCGTAAGGAAATGTCAGTCTTTTCCATTATTAAGAACTTAAATGGCAGCAGCCAAATATCTAGGCTTCTAGGCTCTTACTAAGCAGAGGGTTGTCACCCAGCAAACCTCCTTATAATGTGTCTCCCATTTCCTATAAGATCCAAGCAACTGTCTCCTTCCACAGACTTACCTTTTGCCCAATCACCTTTCTCTCTGCTCAGGGAATCTGCTGTCGTAGGTTCAGTTGGAAGCCAGTGTCCAGTCTCCTCCCCCCCCCACCCACCCCAAGCCCAGCCCCCATTATGCTGTGTCCCTTCCTCTCCCCTCTCAACTCTGTGCCACCCATTCCCCTTATCATCCTGGTGTCTACGGAGCACGCTGGGCCCTTTCAGAGATTATTTCAAAGGCACATTCAGAGGAGGATGCACCACACATGACTTTGATATGGTCTGGACTTAACAACATGTAATGATTCACAACTGGGTATTGTGAAAGAAATTTTGTCTCCCCTACCCAATAAAAGCTGAAAGTCCCAAACACCTATCAGGGACTTCTAAGTGACTTCTAACCATTAATAAGGAAGGTGTCCAGAACATTCGGAGAAATATTTCGAATCTGGGTGGAAGAGGAAAGGCAGCAGAACTCCCTTCCCAGTGGGCACGGTTCCTTTGCAGCCACCTCGTGGGGTCCCCTCCGTCTTCATCTCTCCCCAGTTACATATTAACAGGCTTCCCCATCTCCGACACAACCCCTCTACCTAACGCTCTGGTTACCGCCTTCTCTTCCCGACACTTGCACAGCCCAGCTTCTGGGAAGAATTGCCAGTGCTTGGGGTCTCTGCTTCCTCACCCCACACTTGTCCTCAGCCAACCTCGGCTTTCAAAGTCCACTAAGCCACCAATAGCCTCTGAATTCCCAAATCCAAGAATATTGCATTTCTTTTCCTAGTCATTTCCACATCACTCGATGCTACTGATTCCCCCTCCTGGAACTCTTCTCCCTCATTCCAGTCTCCCATGTCTTACTACCTTCCCCGCCCAGCCTCTCCCCGCACTGCCTTCATCACTAGGCCCTCTCCTTCCCCTCTGTCAGAGGTCAGTGTTGCGACCCAGGCCCCCCACTCCCACAGTCAGTCTGGCCCAGACACTGACAGCCTGGGCTAAAATCCCAGGTCCATCACTTGGATCCGTCTGTATGACCTTGGGCCATTACTATCCCTGTGCCTCAGTTTATTCATTTGAAAATCAGGTATAACTACAGTGTTTCCTAGCAAAGGTTATTAAGAGGATTAATACACATAAAGGATTTACAGCACACAGTACACATTCAATTAGCATCAGCCATGCGATTCCTCTTCCCATACTGTACACTCTGCTTGAGCAGCCGAGCCATGCCAGGACTTCATCGTTCTCGTCAGAAGTTTACACGTGCATCTTCTTTAAGACCTCTCTCCATGTCAGCCTCTAAAACCACGTGCCCACTAGACACGTCCCCCTGGCCATCCCTGAGATGCTTCAAATTCAGTGTGTCTGACCATGAGCTCATCATCTTTTCCTGCAAATGCCGCTATTCCTCCTTCTCCTCCGTTATTTCTCCTAATGAATAGCCCTACTACGCTGCCACTTGGTTCCCCGGGCCAAAATCCCAGAGTCATCCTAGACTCCTGCCCCTCCTTTACTTCTCCACTCAATCAGTCACCGAATTGTGTCAACTTTACTGCCAGAGTATCTCCTGAGTCTGTGCCCAATTCTCCACCGCTATCACCTGTGTCTTAGATAGAACCTCACTGTTTTTTACCTGGATGATAAGCAACCATAATATTGCAAAATATTATTGGCACCCTGGCTGGGTGGCTCAGTGGGTTGGAGCATTGTCTCATACACCAAGAGGTTGTAGGTTTGATCCCCGGTCGAGGTTCATGTGGGAGGCAAAAGATAGATGTTTTGCTCTCACGTCAGTGTTTCTCTTTATCTCTTTCTCCCTTCCTCTCTAAAATCAGTGAACATATCCTTGGGTGAGTATTAAATAATAATATAATGTTAATACCACTACTAATAATGGCCACTATTATCACATGCCAATTATGGATCAATCAGGGTAGTAGAGACTTCACACACTTCATCACACATAATGCTGACCACTGTCCACACCACCCACACGGAAGGAATTAGAGTCCCTGTTTTCAGGTGAGGAGGCAGAGGCTCAGAGACGTTTAATTATCAGCCTAAGTTACACAGAGACCTTGTGGGGCTGGGATGCAGACTGGTATTCGTCTGACTTTGAGTCAGCTTTCCCACCCTACTGACTGCAATGGTGTCCTAACCAGCCTCCCTGCCACTGGTCTCGTTCCTCCTCAATATCCACGCTGCTGCCAGAGAGGTCTATTTTTGCAATGAAACTCTGACTTAGCCTCTCTTCTGTGTGAAATCATGACATAGCCCCCCAGCGCAGAATAAAGTATACGGTCTTCAACAAGGGTCTTCCTGATGTGCTCACTTTGTCCATTTACAGACCTCCCTCCCTCCCTTTTTTGGAGCACACCATGCCTGCTCGCCCAGCCATGCTGTCCTTCTCGCTGGTGCCTCTGCCTGGGACGCCCTTATCCTCTCATCAGCCTGGACGCCTCCATCTCGGCCTCCTAGATGCACGTCCTCTTGCACCCACCTGCTGCCAGGCTGAGTTCAGTTAGCAACCTGTGTCTGGATGCGCACAGCGCTCTGTGATGGCCTCCAGTGCAGCATTTCGGAGTGGAGCAACATGCACTGATCAAGCACCTACTATGCGCAAGTTTCCAGTAGGCTCCAGTGATTTGAGAACCAATAAGACACACGTCCAGCTTTCAGAGAACTCACTTTAACAAGAGAGATGGACAGTAACATGCTGTGTTGCTACCTCTGATTCACCTGTCTCCATACCGGATTACTAAGGTTCTTGGGAAGGAAGACTATCTTGTGCATCTTTGTGTCTCCAAGGCCTAGAACTGGGTTCTGCACACAGGGCTGTCAGTAAACACTGACAGCTGGAGCTGAGTGGACACACAAGCCCACCCACAGGGACACTCCACTTTCGTGTGTGTCTTTCCAGACTCCACAAGTCCAAGTCACCGTTTTCTGCACCCCACTGCTTTGACATGCAGTAGGCTCTCACAATGGAGAATTTCAGTCACCCCGCCCATGTAACTCACCTGCTGAGAGACAAAGGGGCCAGGTCCTCACAGCAGGTAAATGGCACCGCTGACACCCCTTCCAGGGCTCACCGCACCCACCCCCAGGTTCACTGGCACGTCTCACTGCAGGAAGGAAGGGAGCCGCTGTCTGAGGCTGCTCAGCCACGTGGCACACAGAACAGGAGCTGCAGGAAGGTACTGCATGTGTCTTCCAGTAACAGCCCTTCCCTCTCCATCCCACGCACAGAGGCTGTGGCCTGTCTTGTCCCAGCAAGACAAGCCAGTGAAAGGACAAGCATGTCCGTGTTTGTGTCCATGCCCAGGGCAAGACAGCTCAGGCAGGCCTTTGATCAGGGTCTCTGCGCAGAAACAAGATCCCCTGAAATCTGTTCCCTGCAGCGGCTGCCTGTCTAACAGGCAGGAGGGCACAGGGCAAAGGGGAGAGGCTTAAATTACAGCAGGTGTTCTGTAAAAAGCCTTCTTTTCCTCACAAGTTTATGGTGACCTCTCCTCTAAGTGGCATTTCCGCCTCCTCTCATGGTGGAGGACAAAGTGCAAGCTGCCCAGGTGATCAGAGAGGGGTGAGAGGAGGAAAGGAGAGGTGCTGAGCCCCAGGGCAGGGAGCTTCTCGCTGGCCAGGGCAGGGTCTCAGACATTAGGCAGGGGAGAGGGAAAGGGGGGAACTGGGGGAAACGGCTGTTCTTTCCCTGGCCTCAGCAGCCCACCCACCTGCACTTTCCCTCTTGAAAATCACCTTTTCTAAAAGCATCTTTGATGGTAATATGACCTCCCTGAGACTGTCGGGGGCAATGGTGGAGGAGTCCAGTGGTCTGAATCTGATCCCAGGTCCGCCTTTTAGCTGTGGGCGGGGCCCTTCCTCCTTCTCTGATCCCGACCTCAGAGGATGGCTGTGAGCATCCGTGTCACTACTATAATCAGACACTGGGAACCACCTAGGAACCGCGTGACCTGTGGGGAGGGTGTTCAGAAGAGACCGCCCTCCCCTGTCTCTGTTCCTGACTCCTGGGTGGTCTGGGTCTGCCCCTGCCCGCACGTCTTCTCTGTCAGGGCACTAGTCCACCACGCTGTGCTGGTCTGTTTTCTTGTCTCTCTCCCCATTCAGGCCACAGGCACTTTGAGCAGAGACAGGATGTGACTTTCATGCTAGAGCACTGATTCACTCCTTTGTCACTCACTAAGCACCTCCTAGGTACCAAGAGGTCACTAGGTGGTGAGTAAATGAATGAAGTCTGGGACATCCTACAGAAACACCTACATAGCTCATCCACTCGAGAAGCATCTGTATCCATCCCCTGTGGTGAAATCGATGCAAAGGCTTGGGGTTCGAAGAGAGGAACTGCAAACATGACTCAGTTCCCAGGAAATGTGTCCATTCCGACAGTGGATCTGCTGGGCCCCATGCTGAGTTTAGTTAGGACAGATCCGATCAATATCTATCTGAGTGTGTTGTCTCTCTCTGCCTCTGTCTGTCTCTTTCTCTGTCTCTTTTCCTCTTTCCTCCCCCCTTCTAAGTTATGAAAAACTTATCAATTACATAGCAATTCATCCAGACTTTTGGATGCTCTAAAGGTAATGTTCAAAACTCCAGACTCAGAAGGGGCCATCACAGTTCACCAGCCACAGCCTCGAAAAGAAAACAAAAAAACCGATGCCCAACTGAGGGGCACAGCTTTGTTTATGACTGTGCTTTCTTTTCTTACTGGAGACACTGTCTCTCCTCCAGTCCCTGGGCTCTGGTCCCTGGTCCCAGGAGGAAAGAGGCCGGCCAGCAGAGACAGGAGGCGGGCTTCCACTCAAAGAGCCCAACACTCCTGAGCTTCGAAGACCACCCCATTGTCTCCCAGCAGCAGGAACAGGCTCCTGGAGTGCTGACGGTCAAACCCACCTCCCGGCCCACCTCCAGCCCCCTAGTCCCACCACACTATTACTGCAACAGCTGCCAGGCCCTCTCTTGGTTCTGCACCATGTACGCACAGTCTCCTGTCTGCAACAGCCATCGTCACCAGTCCCCCCAAACCCAGCAAGCTCCTCCATTAAGACCCAGGTCAACCATCCTCTGCTCTTGGAAGACTGTCCTCACTCCTCTAGCAGAGACGATGGCTGGTTCCTTTGAGCTGCCAGTTCTCTGCTCCGATCTCTCCTGGTCCACTTAACACACTCTGATGACCTGTTCGCGTGTCCGTCACATGCCATGGACTGTGACCCTCCCTGATGATAAGGACCAGGTCTTCTTCACGTTCGTGTCTCTGGCATCCAGCACAGAGCTACGCATCCCACATGTATTCCAAGCACAGCCTAATGCCTCAAGATTCCGTCACCACTCTAGTCTAGTCTGGTCTAGACCCAGCACCCCCTACAGCACCAAACAGGATTCTATAGAGTCAAACAGCCCAAGACCTAACAGGGTGAGATGTCTCTCCCTAGAACTACACACACAAGCAGAAAGCAGCTTAATTAAGAATCTGGTCAGTTAGCAGGTGCTTCCCAAGACAGCAGTCAACAAAGGGTGACATCAGAGGTCTGAACACCTGGCACCAGGCCGGACATTCCCCGCTGGGCTAGCTTCTCTTCTGGACCAGGATATAAAAGCCTCAGTGAAAATGCAACTGCTGCCTGGAGATCTGGGGTCTGACTTTTACTCCAGGCATTGGGACCCCAGGGCAATCTGTTTCTCAGATTGGGCAGCTGGTGACACGGGAGACCCAGGGTAACACCTGCAGGCAGAGAGAGTCTGGGTCTGAAGGGTCTCTGATGGGCTGATGGCCAAAAAAGCTCTCACCCTGTCCACCCTCCAAAGCAGCCTTACTGGAGTATTTCTGCAACCTCTAACAAAACCACAAGGCCTTGCACACACCAGGTAACTTCACCCCACTGAACTTTTGGGGGGCACTCTGCCAAAATAAGCAAATTCAGGGGACTGCAGATGTGGAGGAAGCCAGAGTACACAAATGTGCAGGGATCTGTGTAAGGCGATCTGGTCTACCAAGTAAGTGGTCAAGGGTCCAGCAAGGGGGGGACTCAGCTTTCAAAGCCAGGACTGCATTCAGGGAAATAAAAGATTCCAAACTGGTGACATGACCGGCCATCACCTAGTATCTGGTATTGCACTCAAATTCACACAGGGTGTCAGTGACTAGTTCTAAACCTGGTCCCCCAAAACCCCATGTGGGTCATTAAATTCTCTCAGCAAGCTTTACCTTTAATATACACAAATGTTCCTCAAAACACTTGGAGAGAAAACGTACTCTGCACCTGATCCAGTGTAAGGTAGGAGACTCCGTTGGCGGCATTCACCCGTCCATCCCACATTTACCGACTGATTTCAGCAATATTTATGTGCTAGGTGCTCAGGGCAAGGGGCACATGCCTGGAAAGGACAAAGGTGAAGGCTCCGTTTAGTATCAAGTTCATTGGTGCTGAGCTGGTACTGTGACCCAGTGGACTGACCCCACTATCCTGTCCCCCTGTGGCTGAGGGCAGCTGAGGAGGAGAGGAAAGAAAGAAGAATTGTAAAAATAATGGCAGTCTCAGATCACAAGCGTGGTGTGGATGGAAAACCCAGTGGACTTCAGATCTCATTAATGCACATAACAAACCACAGCTCACGTTTACTGAGCACTTACTACCTGCACAGCATTAGGCTGCGCCTTTACCCTCACAGTGTGAAGGGTGTGTTCTATAGTCTAGATGTCTGTGTGAATCTGGTCCTACTCCTCACTTACTGTGTGACTTTGGCCAAACTGCTTAGCCTCTCTGTGCCTCCGTTTCTTTGTCTGGAAAATAGGGTAATACCAGTACTAACTCAAAAGCATCGTTATGAAGATTAAGTGAGGAAAAGCCTAATATGCTAAACCTGAACCATGTCCTGGCACAGAGGTAGGCACTCGGTACTAAAACCTACAATGATTATCTCCTTAGTTCGTCACACTCCTTTGCAGAGAAGGCAGACTCTTTCTTCCTATTTTACCAATAAGGCTTTGAGAGACTGAGTCAACACACTCGAGGTCACAGAGCAAAGTTAATGCATGGCAGAGCTGGGACCTGAACTCAGGCAGCCTCACTCCAAAGCCCACAAGCTTAAGCACCACGTGAGCACGGCACCATGCTAGGTCCTAGGGACATGAACTAGGGATCCCTATACAATGCAGCACATACTACGAGAGAGAGATTGAAAGAAAAAAAGGGGGAGGAGGACTGGGCCTGGGGTAGCAGGGAGTGACAGTCTAGAGGACCTGAAGGACGCTCCACCCAGAAAGGGACTTGAGTTCTAGACCCCAAGGACAATGAGGAATTTGCCAGCCAAGGATGAAGGGCATTTTGAAAAGTCAGGACCTAGAATACCAAAAGATTAATGAATTGGGTATACAGCGGGCACACACAGGAAATTGCACCACGTTAGGCTGGGAAGGTAAGTTGAGGCTGGTCATGAATAACCATGTGCGCCAACATCAGAGGCTGGATTTTATTCTGTAAGACAGTGATTCTCAAACTTTGATACACACTCTGCCCTCGGTGCTTGTAAAACAGCTGTAGATTCCACCCCTGCTGCTAGTTCTGGGAGCCAACAGGGTATTATGGGACCGTAGTAGCAAGGCCTGCTGGGATTTTAACAACAGTATTCTGGCACTGGAATGAAGGGAGGTTCGGAGACAAAACCTAGTACAATTGGCCAAACTGGAGCAGATAAGAGGATGAGTTGGGAATAACAGCACTCTTCACAAACCGATACGTGACATCAGGGTTTCTCAGCCTCAGCACTGTTAACATTTGGGACTGACAGTTCTTTGTGGGGAGCCAGGAGAGGTGCTACCCTGTGCATCACAGGAAATTCAGCAGCATCCTCCCCCACCTCCATTTATACAACCAAAAATGTCTCCAGACATTGCCAGATGTCACTTGGATGCAAATCAAAACCCCAGTTGAAAACTACTGCTCGAAATTCTCCCACTCCTATTTTACAGATGAGGAAATTCGGCCACAGAAAGGCCTCAGCAAAGACTCAAATGCAGTTTTGGCTCCAGGGTCCCCCACTCTTAGCCATTTAACTCAACTGTCTTTCCGGGAAAGAGACTCAATGCATCCTTCTCAAGCAGAATCACAGATTTGGTGACAGGCTGGATGAGAAAAAGAGGATGGAAGAGCGAGGTTCATAGGTGAAATCTCAGTGCTTGGCACTGAGCTGGAAGGATAGTAGGTACTAATTAAGTCTTTGGATTTGAATAGAATCAAAATGCATTGACTCAAAAGGGAAAAAACCTGGTTTGCCAGTGCTGTGCCAGCGGGAGGTGGTAGGTTCCTGCTCAGACTGGACAGAGGACTCTCTGTAGGGCTGGGCCTGGGTGTCCTACAAACCGGCTGGTACCCAAATCCTGGCTGGCCCCCTTCCCAGCTGAGTGGCCTTGAGCTCCTAGTTAACCTCTATGCGTCTCACTTTGCCCGTTTGCAAATATAGGAATACAAGTTTCTACTCAAAAGAGTTGATGTGAGAATTCAAGGAGTTATTAAAAGCAAAATGGCAAGCTAGCACGATGTGGTTGGTCCCCCTCGCCTTAAGAACCTTCCTTATTACCTCTATGCCCCGTGATCTTCTCTTATCCAGTACCAGTGCTCCTCTCCACACACAACCGCGCCCCCGCCACCCCTTCCCCCCACTTGCTGCCCCAGCCCAATCTTTGGGAAACAGAGCGGCAAGGAGCTGACTGCACCTCTCCACCAGCAGACTGCCCCCCTGGGACTTTAGGGGGCGCCAACAGCCTTTTCACGCCTCAAGCCGCTGTGATTCGGGGTTCTGGAAATCGCCAAAAGCGCGCGGTGAGCCGGGTGCTTCCAAAAGGAGCCAGGTAAAGGAGTTCAGCGTGGGCCACGGCAATTTCAGGCAGGTCCGCAGCCGGCAGGCCCGGCGTCAAAGCCAGTCGCTGCCCCCGAAGGCAGAGGAGAGAGACGCGGAGATCTGGGAAGGACCCACCCCCCGAAGCCAGGCTGCAAAGGCAGGGAACTGGGAGTTGTTGGATCAGAAAAGGAAAAGAAAAGAAAAGGAAAGAAAAAAAAAGGCAGGGGGCGGGGGAAGCCACAGGAAAGTGGAGAAAGAGAAGGCAAAAAGAAAGCGCTGTGCAGCAGAGTTCCCAGGGGACTCAGCCCACCACACCTGGGCAGGGGGTCGGGAACAAAGCTGCGGCTTCAGGTCAGAAGTGCTCCGGGCGTTTCCGCGGAGGGCGCGCTCCCGGGAAGCCCGAGCGGGCTGGGGATGCGGGGCGCGCGGGGCGCCGCTTACCTTCGCGGGGCCGCCCGCACGCACTTCCGGGGGCTGCGCGCGGGGGGCGCGGGCCGCGCTGGGGGCCCAGAGCGGGTCCCCGAGGTGAGACCGTGACCGATCGGTGCCCGCGGCTTGGGCCGGAGCCGGCGCCTCGGGAGGAAGTCGCAGTGGAGGAGTCACCGGGGACCGCGCGCAGAGCGGCGTCCCGCCTCGGTGCTCACGGGCGCTCGCGCCGAGCCCCGCAGACGCCGGAGGAGCCCGCGGCAGTGAGAGGAAAAGGTTGTCTCATTTCCTTCGGTCTCCCCGCTCCTCCGCCCCTCTGCTCCGGACCTGCCCTCCCTCTCCCCCGCCCCCTTCCCCAAGCCGGCGGCCCCTGTGGGCGCTCGGAAGACGCGAAACCTGAACGGTTGCAGCGTGCGGCGCCTCCCTCTTCGCCAAGTTAGTTCACGCGCCCACCTCCTGCCTGCCTCCCCCGCTCCCGCCGCGGCCCCCCGCCCCCACCCCGCGCTTCCGACCCCCAGAAGGCTCCCCAGGGGCCTTGCCCACCCTGTCCCGGTCTTTCCCCTGCTGGGACGAGCCCAGATTTAAAAGCAGACCTCTAAGCTCCTGCCAGCATCCATCCTCTCATTTCTGTCCCGCTGCCTGCTTTGAGCCTGAATTAAACCACTCAACCCAGACAGGAAATAAGTACTTACTTTGTTACCGTAAATTTGATCAACCTTTTCCCCCCCTCAGTGGGGAGTTTACAGCCTGATGCAAAATCTTGAAGTAGCGTGCATTTTGATTGGAAGAAGAGCAGCTGAGATCTTTGTTTGGCCTTGCTCATTCAGAGTTAGGGTTTTGTTTGCTAATTCAGTGACTGTTGAGAGCCTAATAGACTCTGAGCTGGGCAGAATCTAACCCGAAGGGCATATTGCCCCGAGGCTATCGTCATTGTCTAGGAGCTGGCAGAGAGGAGGTCCAGGGATGCGGTGGTCTCTTAAGAAATAGGTCAAGGCTGGAAGAACTTTCTGCGGACTAAAAACAGCATAGGCAGCAGCAAGACGTATAAAAAGCCCCACGAAGAGGCAGTTTAGCAGAAAACACAGCCAGAATGGGGGGGGGGGTGAAGGTAGGCCAACAGGGAAGAGAACGTTAAGGCAGCCTGTCAAGAGAAGCAGCAGGGAGCAGTGGGATAGAATTGGTAAGACCTAGTGACCCAAGAATCCAGAGGCTGATAGTGACAGTGGATGACCAGAATCCCAGGGCATCTCAGGAGCTGCCACCCCAAGTGTGGTCCTGGGACTGTGACGTTAACATCCACTGGGAGCTTGTTAGATATGGGGACTTTCCAGCGCCACTTGTTTTACTGAATCAGAATCTGCATTTTAGCACAGCCCAAGATGATTCAAATGTTCATCAGCATTTTGGAAGCACTGCTCTTTACACCGCTGACTGTACGTTACAATGACTGTAAATTACAAACACCTGGAGAGCTTTAACAGCCACTCCGAGGCCCCTGCTCCACCCCACAAATGCTTATTTAATTGGTCTGGGGTGGGACTACAAAATCAATATTTTGGAAATGCTTTCCAGATGACCTAATATAGTCCGAGTGGAGAACCACTGTTCTAGATTTATTCAAGGGCTACTTCATTTAACCTTGAAATGCAGCTCTTCAGAAAGGAAAAGAACACCTGTTTGTGGATGAGAATGTGGTAAGTCGTGGCCCTAATAGAGGCAACTGTCAGCTGGAAAGGGCATTGCCTAATCAGGAAAGCAGATTCTAGCCTCCCATAGCCACTAAATTATTATCTGAACTTGAACCGGTACTTCTCTTTAAGGCCTCAGTTTCCTTATCTGTAAAATACACATCTGACTAACTTGACACTCTACCCCCAGGGATGCAAAGCGCCATCATTACAGCTCCACTAACTCCCCAGGTTTACCGGCAGGCAGAGGAGGTGGCTGCGTTGAGAAGAGGTTCTCCTGATGTAGCACTGCGTCCCTGCCACGTACACAACCGTGCACAAACACCAGAGGTCAAAGGACTGTGTGCCAAGCACTACACACATAATTGGTGCTCAGTAGACATGTACAAAATGAATGAATGAATGAATGAATGAATGAATAGGGCACAGGTGCCAGTAGATGGCATAGACTTTCCATGGACTGGCCCTAATCTGGAGCCTATGCATTTGCCCCCTAAGCCAGAGAAAGGGCATTTGGAAGCACTGTGACCCATGACCCAAGCTTTGGATTTAAAACTACTACTATTAAGAACTGATGACATTCGTTGACTGCTTAGTACATACCTGGCACTGAGCTAAATACTTTGCTTAGCATTGCCTCATTTCGTTCTGATAAAGATACTGTTGAACCTCTGTACTGGCTACAGGAGTCCCAAATATGGAAGGAAGTGAGCTGCCATCTAGATCAGCCTCTGCCTCTTGTACAGCTGAACGTACGTGGCCAGAGAGTCCCACAGGGGGCTCTTACAGGTCAAGAGCATGCATGCTTGCATAGAGACCAACCTTGAAGGGAGGGTTTTGGAATGACTGTTCCAGGGTCCTATGCTCCCAGAAGCTATCTCACCTGGGGAGTGTTTTGAAATAACAAGTTGGGCTCTAGACCAGACCCACTGAATCAGAATCTCTGAGTGGAGCTTTAAAAGGATTTTTTAAAATAACATAAAAAATAAAGAAAACCTCTGCAGGTCATTAAAACAACAGTCAGGTTTGAGAACCGCTTCTATAGGAAATGCAGAGACAAAGCCTAGGTCCTAACGGATAACTTTACAAAACAGCGAGGAGCTCGGTCTAGTAGTGATCTCCAGAATTCATCAGGAAAAGAAAACTATCGAAATCATTCCCCGTCCAAAGCATGTTAAGACAATGCCAAGCTGACAAAAGTTCTTGGACTTATCTCAGCCTTGAGTGAGTGAGGTCATCCCCACATGGTCAAGGAGAGGAAATCTTGTTCCATCCCCAGAAAGCACAAATTATTGAAACCAGAATCCTTGCCCTGTCTGCTATGGCATTGCTATTTATGAGAAGCCTCAAACATGCAGAGCTTATGAATTCCAGAAGTAGTGAATGCTCTCCAGGAGCATTGGGGCAAGACCGTCATGTAAACTGGGTAACGAAAGACAAAGGAAATGGCCTCATGGCCCAGTGAGAGGCTAATGGATGTGCGGACAGAAACACCAATGTGTCACTGCTAATGAGGAAAATCAGAAGGCTGAGACTTTTAAAAAACGTTTTGCCCTACAGTCATTTCATATTTATTCTTAGCAAAAGTAAACCTGAAAAGAAGATCTGTACTTATTTGAAATATTAGTGTGGGGAAGCAGGACAATTTCTTTTTCTTGCTTGCTTGCTTGCTTCTTTTTTTAACCCACTGTCTCACTTTTGTCATTACATTCCCTTGGCCAAGTAATGGGATTTCTGTTAAGGTGCATGGATAGCCATTAACTAGGTGGCATTTAAATTCATTCATTTCATAGGAGCCTGCTGAAATGAAACTAGTCATTTGACAGTATTAGCCACTAGCAGCTTCCGGACACCAAAGGTCGAAGACTATAGCACCGCCCATATACAGTCCAACCTCTCCGCAACTTTGTACAAGGTCTCATAGATGCCTTTAATCGCTAAATAAATTACTGTTGATGGAGAGGCTCCCTTTGAAGTTCTAGTTTCCAGATGTAGACAACTAAGTCGTAAAACCCATGTTCACCAGGCCTTCTCTTCCTTTTCAGAGAGTGACATTTTACCTGCATGAAGGAGGAGGAGGGGATGCTGGGAGCACCATTCAGAGTCTTCAGTGAACTCTTAACCGAAGAAGAAGGCCAGGGAAAATAAGCACACGACGGGTCCCCGCAGTGTTCTGATCACCTGCCCCACCCTTCTTAAAATGCCCTGTGCCCAGAAGAGATGAGATAATGAGGAACAAGCATCAATGAAGCATGTCTTCAACCTATTGTGACTTGGAGGCCTGTCTTTCCTTGAATTATTTCCTCGTGGCCCCTGGTCAGAAGACTAGAGTTTTAAATACTTCTGGCTAAACCACTTTATCTTCCTCCGGCTAATAGAGTAGAAATCAAAATATTTCTCTAGCCCGTTGCTGCTGCCCAATACAAAGTTACCTCTGATTAATGACGGGTTTTAAATCAAAACATATTCCCCAGTTAAAGTATAAACATAGCTGAGTGTAAATTTTGCTTCTCTTTTTCCCCTTCATTTTCCACAGGGAGAGTTTCATGCCCAGGCTGACACCTCCTCTACTTTTTCATCTTGGCCAACAAGGTTAAATAAGCATGAGCAGCACTTTAATAAATCATTCACACAAAATACTCTGTTACAACCAACAGGAAGCCACTGTAAAAACTAGAGGTTTCAAGCATAAAAAAATGAGGCAGTGGAACTGTGAAACATGCCCAGTGAAATGGCTAATCATTGATCTTTAAGAAAATGCAAGTGAGGTCCCTACCACAAATATGACCCTAAATAGGTAAATGTTTACTTTTACATTGAAAATACCAAAGATTCTCATAAAATTGAGACATCTATGACCTATTAAAATTACTTCATATGTAGCAAAATATTAAGTCACATTTTAAAGGAATAAGAAAGACTAGAGTTCAAAACAAAGTATAAACGTTGAATTAAGGTAGCTCAACTAACAGAACGACTGAGCCCTGTCGCAGCATTTGATGCTCCTTTACGAGGCTGCCTGCAGCCCTGCCAGATTCCTGACTTCTTTTCCGCAACTGCGAAAGGTGTGAGCTTGAGAAATTCATCAGGTGATTTGTTCTGAAAGATAAATGGGCAAACAGAAGACAAAATCTACCAAACTATCCGTTTCCTTGAAGGGTGGGCACTAACTAGAACAGATGGTTGTGAGAGTTCTGAACGCCTCACAGAGCATTCACGTAATCAGTTCTCTAAGTCATGAATTTCTTGGTAGCAAGTTCTGGAACACGGTGTCTTTACAGAACAGGTGTGTTAGATCTAATCAAACCGAATGAATGGCACTCTGTTCATTACCCCAGTGCCCAACCTGGAGTGAATTCCGCTCCTAAACTGGTACCTGCCACCGGCAGCCAGTCGGCCGCGTGTGTCTGGACACGGTTGATGGGAGTTGAGATCTACTTTGTTTTTGTTTTTCCAGGGGGGGTGGGGATGGGGCAGTCTGACCGAGGAGTCTGAGATTATGGTCGCAACAGGAAGTGGGATTACAAGGGAGGCACAGGGATAAATGAAATTCTGATTCATTGGCTTTGCCAAAAGGTCCACATTGGGAATCCTTTAAATTAGATGGCATGATTAATGTATTTATAATACAATGCTTTTGATTTCTTTTTCATGGTTCACTGTACTTCTCAGAAGCATAGGGTTTACTTGTACAGTAGTCTTCTCTTATTCGTGATGTCACTTCATGGTTTCAGCTATTGGTGGCCAACCCATGGCCAAAATATTAAATGGAAAATTCCAGAAGTAAACGGTGTACAAGTTTTAAATGGTGGGCTGTACCGAGTAACATGATGAATTTTTTCGCAGTCCCACTACTTCCCACCCAGGGCGTGAATCACCACCTTGCCCAGCGTATCCGGGCTGTGCACGCTCATTGGCCCGTTAACCACTTATTTAGTAGCCGCCAAAGCTTTCGGACTGCCTGTCTCACTACCCCAGTGCTTGTGCACAAGGAACCCTTATTTTACTCAGTGATCTCCCCAAGGGCAGGAGGAGGGATGCTGCAATTCGGATATGGGGAAAAGAAATCATAGAGGGCTTCCTGTAGGCAGAAAGGTGAGCACGGTGCAGTAAGATTTTGAGAGAAAGACTTCACATAACTTTTATTACAGTACATTGTGATATAACGGTTCCATTATATTATTATTAGTTATTGTCGTTAACCTTGTACTGTGCCTAATTTATAAACTAAACTTTGTCCTAGGTATGTATGTCTAGGAAAAGAGTTAGGTACTCTTTTTTGGGTATATATAGAGTTAGGTACTACATGAGGTTTCAGACATCCACTGGGGGGTCTTGAAACATATCCCCCAAGGGTAAAAGGGGGGAACTACTGTAATGAGAGGTACAGGGGACAGAGCTGCCACTCGGATTTGTGACCTCAACCCTCCATGCCCCGGGAGCACATGGGAAGTTCTGTCAGGTCAGGGGGTAGTCTCTGGGCCTCAACCTCCTGCTTTCTGGACTTTTTTTATTTGTTCAACTTCCTCATTCTTGTCTTTGATCTTTCCACTCCCTCCTTCCCCTTAACCTTGAACATGTCAAAATCCGCCCCATTGTCTTACGCACATGAATAAGTTACTATCAAAGAAGTCTTCCACATTGTATACCCATTGATAGATTTGCCCCATCTTTATTTGTTTTCATAACCAAACCTCAAACAAATGGGTGCATTTATTATCATCACTTTCTTAATTTCCACTCAGTCCTCAACTGACTGTAGTCTTCAATATGGAGGTAGAGTGAGGTTCAGGAAAATACCATACACCTGACTTGGGGAGATCAGAGAGGTTGAGGACGGCCACTGAGAGTTAATTTGCATGTCTACAGCAACTTCGCTAGCTCCATAGTTATCGTAAAGACCTGTGCTGCCAGGGACATGGGCCTGATTTTCTGAATGTATCCTGGCTTGTGTCTTAGCCTGGGAGATTACAGCACACACATTAACCGTTAACTGGGAGGCAGTTCCCTGATTACGGTGCCTGCTCAAGAGCTTGGTGGTGGTTTGCTCTGGGTCATGGGGCCACGCCTGTCGGGACCAACAATGGCAGCCAGAGAAAGGCAGAAGACACGCAGGACAGGGAGATGTAGCCCACTGTGGAAGGAGTCAGAAATGGGGTTACAGAGAGGCACTGGGATTTAAACTCAAGCCCAGCAGCCATTCTCTCCTTGGTCATGGGGCTTGGGAAGGAGAAGGGCTCTGGGCCATGCAGTCTGCAGTGAGAAGGGAGAAGTGAACGAGGAGCTTTGTCGTGTATAGAGAGGAAGGAGGCCATGCAGCCTGGACTGATGAGAAAGGAGATGCTGCTGCTGCTGCTGCTGCTGCTGCTGCTGCTGCTGCTGCTGCTACGAGCGTGCCTGCTGCAGCTGACTCCGGACCTGCAAAGGGCTTCCTTGAGAGATCCTGACCGGCTGCACCTGGATTTTACCTGGACTATTAAGCCCTGTGCCTTTCCTGAGTTTCACCGTGATCCGGAGTAACACAGAATGTGCCATTCTGAACTATTATACAGAGGCTCATGGCAACATAGGTCCTGCACATATAAGAAATAGGTCTTCCCGGTGGAGAGCCTGGGAAGCGCTGGGTCTCGTGGGAAAGGAGTCTGAGCTGAGGTGCTCTAAGCTCTCCCCGAGGTTGGAATGTTCTAAATAAAGACCTGCTCCTTCCAGCCTTAATTGTTGGGCCTTTCACCAAAGCATCACATGGACAGGGGCCCCAGTCTGCTCAGTAACAGTCTGGTTTCTGTTCCCAACACACCGCAGAAACTGCCCTTATTTAAGGCACAGATAGCGTCCAAATTTCGAAATCCAGTGGCTGCCCCTGAGCTCCTGTCGGTGACCTCTGGCCGTGTTTTTCATTGCCGGCCTCTTCCCTCTTCCCAAGTTCTCCTGTCTTCACTTGCGCACTGCCCCATTTCACAGATCCCCTCCCACCACCGGGGTCACTTCTGCCCTGTGATCTTCCTTAGATGGGTTGGCTTCATAACCGACACATCTGTTCACGTCACTAAAATTCTTCAGGGGTCAGCTGCTCTTACAGGATAAAGTCTAGACTCCTTTGTCGGGGATGCACAGCCCTCACGGTGGCCCCTGCCTGCCGCTCCCACCCATCCGGGGACAACCTGTCTCACTTACGCTTTGAGTATCCACCTCTTTACAGTCTTCCAGACATGCCTTGCTACTTCATGCCTCTGTACCTCTGTACAGAATGTTCTCAACTCCACCCCCATCCTCCCCTGAAGAATTCCGGCTCATCTCCTGAGGCTCAGAACAAAAGTGAGCAATTCTTGGAAATCTCCCCTCCCCCTAGAGAGACAGCACTCCCTCCCAGGCACCCAGCATCTGCGACAGGCATTCTCTTTGAGCTCTGCCCCGGGTCGCCTCCCCTGGATCGGAGTCCTGTGAGGTAATAGGTACTTGTTCATCTGTTTCAAGCTTGGTCCAGTGCCAAGAACCTTGTAGGTGCTACTAGCTGATTAGGACGCAAGAAACCTCACATTTCTTTTATTTCTCTAAATTGAATTTAACTTGCCCTGAGCTCTCTACTCTCTCCCTGAAAATGTAATCTCAGTTGCTATTGGGACAGGCCTCCTTCTGGACCCACAGGGAGGCCCCTGGTGAGTTACACTGTACAGGGCACGCAATCAGGGCCCCCCGGGCTGCGTCTGCCCCGGCGCCTCCTCCAGGCTCACTGTCCAAGCCTGGGCCCAACCAGGAGGTGGTTTCTTCTGAGGCTGGGCCTTGGGGTTCCCCCCCCCATACACACACAGGGTTTTTTCAAGGCCACAGCTCTTAATGTTTAGTCCTTTCTGCCTCATCACCACACCTGCTGTGTTGTGGGTATGGCGGGTCCAGGTGTTCGTATCCCATGGACACCCCCAGGTACCCGGCTCTTTCTTTCCTTTTCAGGACTCCGCCTTCAGTCAGGCTGTGCAGCCTCAGACACCCGAAGCCCCCTCCCCGCCCCGGCCAAGCACAGCACCTTTCCCCTCAATGAGACAGGCAGCTCAAGCAAAAGCAGGATGAGTAAGTATGTCTTGTACTAGAAAGTCTCTTTTCAGCCCCACGACAACAGCAAAAAAACCCAAAGACCAGGGTGTGCCAGGGGCTTACTACTTTCTGAGCCAGAGGAGAGAAGGGTACCCACAACAGAGAAAACAAGACTGCAGAGAGTATCTCAGTAAATTATTCCGTCCCACAACCCTCAATAAATTTGTTCAATTATTTAGTGAAAGCTGAAATGTCTATGAAAGAAATTGCTCTCCCAAAGAGAGACACCTCCTCCGTGCAGCCCACCTCACTCAGCCTTAGCCTTCTTCCTTCTCCAGAGAGAGGCCTAAAATCTCAGGGACCACCCCCCACCCCACCCCCACCTACCCCTCCACCCCCGGTCTGTGGCCCAGGGACGTGCGTTCACATGGCTGAGTTTATTGGAGCTGCTGACTTGGATTGCTGACGTGGGCATTTGCAGCAGCTGCGTTAACCCACTTTCTCTCATAGATGATTTTAATCTCTTTAATTTTTGCCCGGCTTGTGAGAAAACCGAAAGCCTGGTTGGGAGGGGGCAGGAGGTCGAAGTTGCAGGTCGAGAGTTGGGCGGTGGTTAAATCCTATGGGAGGAAGCAAAGGCGCGTGTAATCCTTTCAGGAAAACAAGTATTACTGGAGAGGAGGAAACTGCCAATGTAACTTTGTTCCAAGAATAAATAGCACATTTTTCCTCCATGTTTGCTTTTCTCTCTTTGATCCCCTTGAAACCCTCTGGAAGTGCCTGGCCAGCGATTTTGCTCCCCTCGGAGGCTGGGAGACGGAGCCACGAGCACTCTTGAGATTCCTCAAATGGAGGCCTAAGTAGGGCTCCCGGGCAATGCCGGAGCCACGAGGCCCGTGGAGGGGGAGGGACGTAGACGTTTTAGTAAAGTCTAATCACCACAAATATGCACAGTGTTTCCAAACATGTCATCATGATGCCCAGAGGCTGTTTAAAATGAAATAATAATGGAGAGGGTCTGCGACCAAAACCACCCGGAGCCTCGGGAGTTGGAAAGGAAAGGAGAAGCAGAGCTGGAGCGGGTTAATGTTTAGCTCTGGTCCCAGGCGGTGGGAACTGCCCGCACGCAGCCAGGCTGAAGTGAGCGTGCCCCTCCAACGGGGAGTTTACGGGTCAAATGCTCCAGAAACCGCAGTCCACAGTGACACAGATTTCCCCTCTTTTTCCCAGAGAGCTTCATTTGAAGGGAGTTTCAGACAGGACAATACTATGAATGATAAAGGTCTTGGCATCCAACAGATCTGCATTTAGTTTTGGTTCTTCCATGTTTGTGAAGTCAGGTTAAGTCCTCAGTATCCTCATCTGAGAATACTTACAGGGTGGTCATGAAATGATGCACATAAACTTAGCATTTTGCTTGAGTCTGTGTTCAGTGAACGCCAGTCCCTTCCAGCACTGCCTCCCCAAAGTATACGTGTATTATTCAATCAGAAAATACTTACTGAGTACTGACTAATGGGAAGACCCGTACCGGGCTCATGCGGAAAGCCAAGACATATTAAACCCACTCAGTGGGAAACTACACACAAAGTAATCAAGTCTGGAAAGTGTCAAGCCACTGGCACACGTGTTGTCACCAAGAAAACTGCACAGGAGGCACTGATCGATGATCAGTGCTGACGGTTGGTCCTAGTGGTTGGGGAGGGAAAGTTTTATAGGGGACAGGGGGTTAGGCTTGCTCTAGACAGAGAAGTAAGGAACAACCAGGGATGATTTAGAGAAGCTAATAGACTTACTTCGTTTCATAGGATACTTTTAGGGATAATTTGGGAAATAGTTGGAAAGGAAATTGGAGAATGCGGTAGATTAAAAATGGTGGCAAATTCTTTGTCACTATCCCTATGAAGAGGACGACTGTACTTCTATTCTCGAATCAGGGCTGGCTCCATGACTGATGAACAAATAGAACATGGCAGAAATACTGCTGCTCCCGTTTTGGACCTAGCCTTTAAGAAAATCAGTAGCTTTCACTTCCTGCTTCTTGGAACTTTTGCTCTTGGGACTTTGCCTCTTCGAATCCAGCCACCACACTGAGAAGCCCAAGCCCATGTGGAAAAGGCACGTGGGGCTCTTTGATCAAAGCCCCCGCTGAGCGCCCCGCCAACAGGCCGCGTTAAGGGCACCGTGTGAGTGACCATCTTGCATATTCCAACCCAGTCAAGCCCCGAGATGACTGCAGCTGATACCACATGGAGCAGAAGACCCACCCAACTGATCCCAGTCAACCTACAGAATTGTAAGAGATAATAAAGTGGTCCCGCTCTTAGAATCAAATTTTGGGAGTGATATGTTGTACAACAACAGAGAATTGAAACAGAAGGAACTTGTGGGAGGCCTTGAGGGCCAAACACCAAAGTCTACACTTTGTCATCATTATCACCGTCACCACCGCATCATCACCATGGAAATAATCAATAAATGATAACCATGTACCAGGCCCTGCGTTGTAAGTTTTTAAGATGTTTTAAAATTTTAACCTGTTTATGAACCTGTGTGGTAGGTACTACCCCATTTAATAGTCAAGAAAACTAAAATTTAGAAAGTTTTAGGAACTGGCTCAAGATAAAACAACCAGGAAACAGGAGAGATGGGATTCAATTACTTACATTCTGACCACTCTCAAACTTGTCGTCATCTTTCTGCAAAGAGATTGAGCAATGCTTCTGTCAGAATAAGCATTCTGATAATCTTGGGAGATATAAACAACTCTTCCAGCTGGAAATTGGCAACTAGTTTGAAAAACACAAGCTGCCTGGGCTTGTCAAATAATGCCAGGCAAGAAAATGTCAATATGTCTAACTCCCTTTGTTCAGTGACTGTATAGTATATGAGACAATTTGGAAAGAATAAGAATAAGACATTTTTAATGTGGGGTTTGGTAGGAAAATAGAAGCTACTATGTCACCTATTTCTGCACAATCACCCCTCCCCTCCCCCCAAAACTTAGTGGCATATAACAACAGTTATCATTTGTTATCTGTCATGGTTTCTGTGGGCCAGGAATTTAGAAGTGGCTCAGCTGGGAAGTTCTAGCTTGGGGTTTCTCAGGAAGCTGATGGGAGTTGAAGCCATCTGAAGACACTCCTGGAACTGGAGGGTCCTCCCCAAGGCAGTTCACTCACACTGCTGGCAAGTGGGTGCTGGCTGTGGTGGGAGTCCTCAGCTCCTCATCAGGTAGGCCCCTCCAGGGCGCTGTTGGAATAGCCTCATGCCTGGACAACCGGCTTTCCTCAGACAGAGTACTTCTTTCAAAAGGCCATGGCAGAAGTCACAATGCCTTTTATGATCTAGCCTCAGTAATCACACACTGGCCCTTCCACTTTACAGATTACACGGGCCATCCTGTACCAGTTCCAGGAAGGGACTCCACAAAGTCACAGATACCAGGAGAAAGTAATCATGGGGATGGAGGGCATCTTGAAGGCCGGGTACCACGTTCCTCAATCTACTCCAAGTATTAAATCCTTTAAAAAAGGAT